TCAAACTGGTAGGACAGTTCCAATAATTAACACATTGCATACTGCCTTCCTAGTGGTTAACTGCTGTACAAGATGCAGACATGATATCCTATTTACAAACACTATTACAACAAATCCCTCTATTCATTAAGAGAATGTAACTATATATCTATCCTAACCATATTGAATACATAGATACAAAATGGACATTCATCTGTATCCCCTTTTGTGTTTAGTTCCATCATTTGAATATTATAGGTGTGTAAACTCAGCAAAATATTCTAAAAGAGTCCAGTAGCCCATAATAGTATGGGGTCTTCTATTTAACTGGCAATGTCAGAAATTGTTGACCTGACTCCCCTATAGCTCAACATAACAGCATGGCTTTATTTCTTATATTTCATTTTTATACTTTTCTGCTGGTTGGTTAAGACCAAGATAAAGTAAGACCTATGCAACAAGAGTAGTAGCTTTTGGATCTGATAAGGTCAGTCAAATCTAGGGGATATTAATTCTAAAGGAGGTATTAGTATTGGGTGTAGTAGTCAAAATTTTATAGTATTTATATTCATTTTTGCAATGTTGTTATTGTTTGAATAATTAAAATTTAGTGGAGGATGAAGAATTATTGTTTAATGTATAGAGTTTCAGTTTAAAATGATGAAATATTTCTGCAGGTATATAGTAATGATGGTTGTACAACAATATAAATGTCTTATTAGTATATTTATATTAAATTGTACACTTTAAAAATGGTACAATTGGTTATGTACATTGTACTGCAATAAAAACTTTAATAGATGAACATCTCTTTCACTATAGGTGTGACCACAGGAAGAGTCTAGTTATGGGTCAGTCTGCACCACAGAGGGCAAAGCCAATGACATTTAAACTGATTCTTAAAAGGAGCACAAGACTTGGGTGGAAAGTCTTGGAGGACAGAGCAAGCCAGCTGCGAAAGGAGAAGCTGGGGTGGGGGGTTTGCCTAGAGAAGTCTTAACACAAGATGGGAAGCAATATCAGATACAAGTTCTCCAGGAGCTCCAGCAGTGCCCACTGATGGAAAGTGGCATTGATACGAGGAGAGAGGGAACCTTAATCCCCTAGCTCCCCAGTTCCTCTTTCTACAATCAGAAGCCCTGTAGAGATAGCTTCAAAAATGAGGGGGGTGGAGGGAAGGGTCCAAAAAGCAGCATTCCATAATGGCTTGTCTTTTCACTTCAGTAGGCTCCTCTTTCAGAGCATCCTCACACCTGGAGGGAACTTGATTTCTCTCTGAGAATCTGCCTTTCAAGTAGATTAAAAACTATTTTCATGAGTTGCAGCTGTTTACATGCAAAGCTGTCGCTCAGACGATGTGTGCCTTCCTGGGACACCCGCAGAGGCCTATCAGGGGCTTTTTTCATTTGGGGGCAATTTCCTTTCAGTCCTTGTGCAGTGTGTCTGAGCAAAGGAAGGGGGTAAGGGGACAGCAGGGTATGCTTATCATTGCTCTAACAAAGTGAAAACAAACCTGTAGACAGGGGAATTGCGTGGGGCTAGAGCAAGGATGTAGAATCTCCTCCACCTGGGATGAAGGAAGGAAAGGCTCCTTGTGGGCCATCTACCTTGAGCTCATCCTTGAGGCAGGGAAGATTTGTCCTAAGGCTGCAGCTACAGCAGCTTCCATTGCCACTACTCCATCCTCCAGCTCCCTGGGGCCACACAGTTCAATTTTGATCCCACATATACAAAATAAGTCAAGAAACTGGATACTGGGGCCGGCAAGATAGCTCAGTAGAAGAAGCGCTTGCCTGGCAAATGCAAGGGCCTGAGTTCAATCTCCATTTCCGCAAAAAATTAAAATAAAATAATAATAATAATAATAATAAAGAAACTGGATACTCACCTCCAAATAGCCATAAATTGGGGTTGTTATTAAAGATTATTCCTCTATATCCTTTCTTGGATTTAGAAAACTGTCTTTCACAGAAGGCAGGCTTCATTTTTCTTTTCTTTTTGCACAACTCGGCAGCGAATGTGAGTGTAGAAGTTCGTGTTGGCTTGGCCTAGCACACAAAGCCTGAAGCTGCCTGTGATCAAGTAGGCCAAGTGCGTTCCTTGTAGTGGGTGCCCAGTGTGCAGCGGCTGTGCACAGTAAGCTCCTTGCTGGTGTGCACACTCACGCTTGCATGGTAGCCCCAAGCGACCTTGAAACCACTGCTTCCCAGTGGAAAGCAGCTTCCACTTCATGTATCTAACCTCCTTTGCCCCTAACCCAGGCTCTACACTGGCATATGGGTGCCTCGGGGAAGCCCCAGTGCATGGGGGTGGGGGTTCACATTAGGCAGGTCATCATGTCCCTCCAAACCAAGCCACCGAATAAGTAGCATGTGATTGAGGCCTTGTGCAGGGCCAAGTTCCTGCCACCAGAAGATACTTCCCCAGCTTCCCCAAGCTCAGTGGAGAAGAATTTGAAGACATGGAGACCAAAGCACCTCATCATCCCTGATAGCTATAAGGTAGAATACATCATGGATGGAGGGCCCCCAAAAGCAGTGGGCTTTACATTCCTGAAGGCTTCCACAGTGCCTCCCCCAACTTAACAAGTTCATCGATAAATCCTATTGTTGCCCTCCCAAAAGGCCTGAAAATGCTAAAAAGTTCTAAAAAAACAAAACAAACAAAAAAAACCAACAATGATCTGCAAATATGATTTCTCATATTTAGGGTATTTCTAGTCTACACAAAATTCTTGAAACACTCATTTCATTTACACTGATTTCAAAAATAAATGTGTGCTAGAGCTCTTTAGGAACACTATCAAAATTCCTTGTTGCAATTCCAAACAAGTTAGAATCATTGGCTCATTTTCCTATCTTTCTTCTATTTCCAAAACACTTTAACTATCTTGCATTTTCTTAATATCCTCTGAATGCAGTGTTGATTCCTATTCTGTATCACAGAACTGCTTATATATTTTAAAGGCTGCCAGGGCCGCTGCTATGCATTTCCACTTCCCCAATATCTACTTGAGTGCCTGCTGGATGCGTGACCCCTTGCAGCACATGAAAGACATGAACAAGACCGCACACAGTTGGTGAGCTTTGACCATAGTGCAAAATGGTACAAAATCTCCAATTTGTAAACACTGAATACAGACTTCCCCAAAGCTGGTTTGTATCACTTGCCTTCCATGCAGGCAGAACTGAAACTGACACCCTACCCTTCCTTTCACAAGCCTGCAAAAGGCCAGGAAATGCTGAGGTATATTCATTGGTATTTCATCGCCTCTTATTAAAAACTTAATTTGTTCAAGGTAAATAAAATGTTGCTTGTGTAAGTAATTAATCAGGAATTGCATGGAAGGTTTATTATGAGGCCAATAGTAAGAAATCTCCCGGGGTACCTGGCATACTCTCTCAGTAAATAATTATTTAAAATTATTTACTAAATTAAGTCATTCCTTTTGTGATATCTTTGAGACTTCAAGTAATTGGTTGGGCTCGCTTTGGTTTGGTATTTTATAAAGAAAAAAATAATGCTATATAATGAATTAACTATGCAATTAACTACAAATTTAGCACTTCAGAAACACATTTTTAATGACTAAGAACAGGTACAAAGAGCCCCGTGTGTCTCTTTGTTTAACAAAAAAAAGGCACAATTTTTCCACCTTGTTTAATGTAGCAAGGCTGTGAAAGTGTTTGCCCAGCAAAACTGACTATTTCATATCTACAGATGCTCAGAGACACTGAGCCACAGCCACAGGCTCTGCCCTGGGATCAAGGTGACAACTGCTTTGACCTAAGCAGGGCTATCTCCTTCATACACAAAAGGGCAGACTCTCTTGAGGAGCCTTCCCTGCATCCTGCCAGGCTTGAGGAGGAGGGACAGTGACAGAACACCTCGAGATGGATCATGGAAAGTGAAGTTTGGGTTAACTAAAAGCTTTAATTACCTGGATTTCATGCTGTTATGTTAATTTTTTAGAGTAAAATGCAAACCATTACATTTTTTAAAGGAAGAAAGGAACTGGATGTTAGCTCGCCGACCACAGTGCAAGAGTTTATTATGTCACTTTATGCTCTTGCACACATTTTGGGCTCATAGTCAGGTAACAGGAGGGAAGCATCTACCATCTGTCACATACCAGGCTGTGGGGTCTTCCAAAAGTGTGCCACCTCATGTAACTTTCGTGACAATTTCTTGATGTTGGTGTGGTAAGTGTAATGTTACTTGGAGAAAGTTAAAGACCTTTCTTGTGCCATGTAATTTGTCTGTAGCACAGCCAATCTAGGCCCTCCTCCATGGCTTCAAACATACATGCACACATGCACAGGCAGGTGTACAGAGAGAAATCCACAGTGCACACAAAATTCTACCTGGATGTTTGGAGCACATTCTCTACCTTGGCTTCACACATAGTTGTCCAAAGTTCAAATGGTTCTAACGCTACCGCCACAGATCTCTTACTTGTTAAGGTTGTGAAGTTAGGTGCTTTAGTATAATTTCTACAGGTAAGAAAATAAACATCTTTGTTATAGAACATAATCATTTTTCCAGCAAGGGTTGAAATTGGAAAGCTTACATTTTCAATTTAAATAGACACATTGGCTAATCAGAGTGCTCATCCGGTAATGTGCCAAGAAATTAAGATACCGCTTGCTCAGTGGCATCTCATTTTGCCCCTAGACATTGGCATTGCTGTACAGACTTGATTTTTCTTCCCATGCCAATTCCAGTGACTCCTGTTCAGCTTTTCTGTACCTCTTTGCAGTCTTTAATCCTACTGAGCACCCCACTGCTACATTCAGCAGCCTCGTTAGCACCTCCCATGTGCCAGGCACTCTGCCTGGTGCTCAGACAAGACTGCACATTCAGAGCACTACAGCATCAAGTGATGCCAACACCAGAGGAGTTCACACCAATTCAGGGTGAGGATGAGACAGGGGTGGGCTCAGATGGCAGTAGGGGGCCTTTGGAACCATAGCAATATTTTCTTGTATTATTCTAAGGACAACTAGAAGCTACTATGTTTTTTGTTTGGGGGCTTTTTGTTGTTGTTTGAAATTATGGTTAGATTTGTATATTATTAGTCAGCTTTCCCATTGCTAGGATCAAATAACCCAAAATCCACAATCTAAAGTAGGAAATTGTTTATTTGGCTCGCAGTTTTGGAGGATTCATTCCTTGGTCATCTGATTGCAAAGCAGAAAAACCAAGGCAGAAGGGCACTGAGAGAACAAGTAGTGCCCTGGAAGCAGAGCAGGCCAGCAGTGCCACAGAGGAAGGGGTCAGGAGCCCAACCTAGACCTCCATGACCAACCCGGAAACACCAGGAAATGCTCCTTCTTGATCCCCTAGGCAGCTCCCAAGCCAAGCCAGTTGATGATTAAGCCTACCCATTACAACTTGCACGTTTACCCAAAGATTACTCAGTTATGTTAAAAACAAAAAAAAAAAAAAAAAAAGAAAGAAAAGAAAAAAGAAAGAAAGAAAGAAAGAAAGAAAGAAATATAGTGGATGGATTGGAAGGTGGTGAGAGTGGCCCCAAAAGGCCATCTAGGAGGTGACTGTAACTGTTTAGTCAGGAGAAAATGATTACCAGACCCTGAATAACAACAAAGGAGAGTGAAGAACTGCACAGACGCTGTGGGTATATTACACATGATGGTTAGGACTTGATGAGTGGAGAGGGAGTGGGATGACTTGTTTGTCCGTGGTGAGATAGGGAAACTGTGTCTGAGCCATGGTATGGAGTGGGCTGAGGGACACACGCAGTGGGCTCTGTCCTGTGCATGTTAAAGGCAGTATCTATGGCTCAGGAAGCCATCTAGCATAGAGTGACATAACTGGTAGTTGTGGATGGTTTCTTAAACCAAAAGAATCACTGAGATTCCTGTAGGAGAGACTATAATAATAAACAAAGAGGTCTCACCAGATATCTCCTTAAATCCTACTAGTTTTCCATCCCTGTAATTTCTTATTAACTTTAATATTATTGTTTTGACCTAAAATGACCCCCAAATGTCTATCTCATGTGTTCAGAGATAGACTTTCGGCAGGTCATTGGCTCATGAGAGCTTTAATAGCATCAAGCAGATTCACCCACTGGTGACATCTTCATTTGACCACATTACTGGAAGGTGACAGAAACAAAAGGTGGAACCAAATTGAAGGAAATGGTTCACCGATGCCTGACCTCAAGGACTATTTCAGGTCCCCAGCCTCTTCTTTTCTCTCTCTTCCTCAGTCTCTGGTTCCTAGCCACCATGACGCAAATCAGTTTTGCTGTACCATACCCCTCCTCTATGGTGTCTCTGCCTTGCCACAGACCTGAAAGGAATAGAGCCAGCTGACCAGGGACTGAAACTATCAGCCACAATAAATCTTTCTTCCGCTAAATTGTTTTGGCCACTTGTGATGATCACAACTGTCTGCTCCCATGGGTTTTATTCTCTCACTTCCACTTACCTTTCTCAACACTACTAATTTTCCTAATGTTTTACTCCTGTAATATTATTTTTCACCTCCAAATCCTACACTGTCACCCCCTTTTATGCCCTGTAAGGTACAATCACTTCACCCAGGAAGTGAGGGCCAAACTGGTCTCAGGTTGCATAGATGTGTTTGCTGCTGCCCTCTCTGGGTTCCACTCCATCAAAGATCTTATCTGCAACCTTGATGAAGACATTTAAACTTCCCCTCCTCCACTTCTTCACCTATTACATTCTGGGAATGAATGATGAAAGGATTCTTCTTATATAGAATAAAAGACTATACCTCTGTAGAAAGAGACAGCCCTCTATCCCTGGACATTAGCTTCCCCAGTCTTCACAACTGGTGGCAGTGATGCCAATAGACCAATGAACTACGAGGTTGGTGTGGAGATGGTAAAGGAGACACATGTTAGGCCTAAGGAGGGAAACATTTCAACAGCCAATCAATCATCAGACAAATGAGGCCTTAGTTTATCTCAGAAGTACTTTATGGAAATTCTACTCAGATTGTTAATTGTTCAAGTTATTTACAGCTAATTGATCAGTAATAGGTGTACAAATATTTGCCTACCACTATGCACCAGCCTGGCGGAGAAATAGAGTCTGTGGTCCCATAGAGCCAAAACAGTGAATCAACTGACTCAATTCACATACAGGAGAGATCCCTGGAGCTGGCCAGAGGTGTGAATAGCAAAATTCATTTAACAAGATTGCTAATAT